AAGATTCAGATGAATCACAGGGATGTTAAGAAGTATTTCTTCAGTCACAGAGTTTTCAGGAAGTGGAATAGTCTGGGAAGTGATGTAGTGGAGGCAGGATCCATACATAGCTTTAAGGAGAGGTATGATAAAGCTCATGGAGTGGGTAGTGACTGAGTAGCGGCCAGTGAAGAGGCGGGGCCAGGAGCTGAGACTCGACCCCTGAAACCACAACTAGGTGAGTACACACACACACATACATACATACATACACACACATACATACATACATACATACACACACACACACACACACACACACACACACACACACACACACACACAGTTAAGGAAAGCCTCAATTCATCAACTCATTTCCACAGTCAACCACATCAACCACCTCACAGACATTAACCACAACAGTTCACGTTACAGTCATCAGTCAACCACATCAACCCACCTCACAGACATTAACCACAAACAGTTCACGTTACAGTCATCAGTCAACCACACCAACCCACCTCACAGACATTAACCACAACAGTTCACGTTACAGTCATCAGTCAACCACATCAACCCACCTCACAGACATTAACCACAACAGTTCACGTTACAGTCATCAGTCAACCACATCAACCCACCTCACAGACATTAACCACAACAGTTCACGTTACAGTCATCAGTCAACCACATCAACCCACCTCACAGACATTAACCACAACAGTTCACGTTACAGTCATCAGTCAACCACATCAACCCACCTCACAGACATTAACCACAACAGTTCACGTTACAGTCATCAGTCAACCACATCAACCCACCTCACAGACATTAACCACAACAGTTCACGTTACAGTCATCAGTCAACCACATCAACCCACCTCACAGACATTAACCACAACAGTTCACGTTACAGTCATCAGTCAACCACATCAACCCACCTCACAGACATTAACCACAACAGTTCACGTTACAGTCATCAGTCAACCACATCAACCCACCTCACAGACATTAACCACAACAGTTCACGTTACAGTCATCAGTCAACCACATCAACCCACCTCACAGACATTAACCACAACAGTTCACGTTACAGTCATCAGTCAACCACATCAACCCACCTCACAGACATTAACCACAACAGTTTCACGTTACAGTCATCAGTCAACCACATCAACCCACCTCACAGACATTAACCACAACAGTTCACGTTACAGTCATCAGTCAACCACATCAACCCACCTCACAGACATTAACCACAACAGTTCACGTTACAGTCATCAGTCAACCACATCAACCCACCTCACAGACATTAACCACAACAGTTCACGTTACAGTCATCAGTCAACCACATCAACCCACCTCACAGACATTAACCACAACATTTCACGTTACAGTTATCAGTCAACCACATCAACCCACCTCACAGACATTAACCACAACAGTTCACGTTACAGTCATCAGTCAACCACATCAACCCACCTCACAGACATTAACCACAACAGTTCACGTTACAGTCATCAGTCAACCACATCAACCCACCTCACAGACATTAACCACAACAGTTCACGTTACAGTCATCAGTCAACCACATCAACCCACCTCACAGACATTAACCACAACAGTTCACGTTACAGTCATCAGTCAACCACATCAACCCACCTCACAGACATTAACCACAACAGTTTCACGTTACAGTCATCAGTCAACCACATCAACCACCTCACAGACATTAACCACAACAGTTCACGTTACAGTCATCAGTCAACCACACCAACCCACCTCACAGACATTAACCACAACAGTTCACGTTACAGTCATCAGTCAACCACATCAACCCACCTCACAGACATTAACCACAACAGTTCACGTTACAGTCATCAGTCAACCACACCAACCCACCCACAGACATTAACCACAACAGTTCACGTTACAGTCCTCAGTCAACCACATCAACCCACCTCACAGACATTAACCACAACAGTTCACGTTACAGTCATCAGTCAACCACATCAACCCACCTCACAGACATTAACCACAACAGTTCACGTTACAGTCATCAGTCAACCACATCAACCCACCTCACAGACATTAACCACAACGTTCACGTTACAGTCATCAGTCAACCACATCAACCCACCTCACAGACATTAACCACAACAGTTCACGTTACAGTCATCAGTCAACCACATCAACCCACCTCACAGACATTAACCACAACAGTTCACGTTACAGTCATCAGTCAACCACATCAACCCACCTCACAGACATTAACCACAACAGTTCACGTTACAGTCATCAGTCAACCACATCAACCCACCTCACAGACATTAACCACAACAGTTCACGTTACAGTCATCAGTCAACCACATCAACCCACCTCACAGACATTAACCACAACAGTTCACGTTACAGTCATCAGTCAACCACATCAACCCACCTCACAGACATTAACCACAACAGTTCACGTTACAGTCACAGTCAACCACATCAACCCACCTCACAGACATTAACCACAACAGTTCACGTTACAGTCATCAGTCAACCACATCAACCCACCTCACAGACATTAACCCACAACAGTTCACGTTACAGTCATCAGTCAACCACATCAACCCACCTCACAGACATTAACCACAACAGTTCACGTTACAGTTATCAGTCAACCACATCAACCCACCTCACAGACATTAACCACAACAGTTCACGTTACAGTCATCAGTCAACCACATCAACCCACCTCACAGACATTAACCACAACAGTTCACGTTACAGTCATCAGTCAACCACAGCAGTCCGCATCATAGCCATTAATCAGCTATAACAACCTGCATCAATCATCCACAACAGTCCAGATCACAGTCATGAATCAGCCATAGCAACCTGCATCAATCAACCACAACAATCTAGATAAGTCATGAATCATGAATTCACGTCATGACTCAACCTCAACAACCTGCATCGACGACAACAACTTGCATCAGTCATCCACATCAGTCCACATTAGTCAACAATCACAATAAGCTTCATGATGGTGGAAACGTCTCTTAAATAAAGGTGCTCAGGATCCCAACATTGTTGTTATTGCAGCTGCAGGAGGAATGATTGGTTGGATAACTGGACCTTCAAAACAAGAGATGTCAACTCGTTCTCTCTAGGCTGGAGTATTGCTGTCTACTAACGGCCCCCCTTCAAGTCAGGCGGTACATGAATGGTATACAATACCGACAAGATGAAAATTAGACACATGTGCAACATCTGGGTATCTTTATTGTAGACACATCGCCATCCAGTGGCTTTATTAATACTAATTCAATAATGTCCTTGAATTTATTTTGATAAAGCCACTGGATGACGAAACGTCTATAATATAGATACCCAGATGTTGCACGTGTCTAATTTTCATCAAGGTCGGCGAATATTTCTGAGCTGGAAAATGTACAGAGAACCTTCGCATAAACTCAGTCAAGCTCCTAAATTACTGGGAGTGTTTGATGTTCCTAAATTGTATTTCTTAGATTGTAGAGGAGGAAGATACATTATAAACTACAACTGGAAGGTACTGGAGGAACTGGTCCCAAACCTGTGCGCTGAAACGGTGCAGGATACCTCCAGTGAAAAGTAGGGAAGTGATTACCAACAAATCCCTAGCTGTCTTCAGGAAAGAACTCCACAGATTCCTCAATATAGTTCCTGCTCAGCAGGACTGTGGTGCATACGTTAGACCGCGGGCAGCGGGCACTAACAGCTTGATGGATCAGGCCAGCAACCAAGAGACCTGGTCTGGGACCGGACCACGGCGGAGATGACCTCTGGAAGTGACTCCAGATAAACACTAGATAAATATCTTATTCACCAGGTACCTAATTACTGACACATGAACCAGGGGCAGCAAGTGTATGTGGACTGATTTGCTTAGAGTGGGTGTTCGTGGAGCTGGTAGCCTCCTCAGCTCATACACAGGACTGAGGATCGCTTCCCTGCACGGGTGAAACGTTAGGTATTCTTCTCTTACACCTGGCGCCCCCCTCTTCACCTAGCACTAAGGGTGTATTCAACTGCTATGGGTCGCATCCTGACGGAGGAGATTCGAAGATCACAATGGAAATAAGACACTGACTTTTTGGGGGATATCCTGGGTGGCTAACACTCCCCTGGGTTAAAAATTCCAACAAAATTTTGTCCTGTTTTATGTCTTATTCTGTCCAAGAATGGATCTCGCGGTCATTTCGAACGTTCTTCACTGAGTTACGTGTCAATCAATAGAGTCATCAATAAAGTTCACCGCTGTAAAAGACGCTGACAGAAGGGAAACCTTGAGACAATGTTTGGCCTAGAGATAAAGCTTTACCTTGATAAAAGCTTGATACCACGTGAATGCCGAACATTGTCAGTGTTTCATTTCTCATCGTTTTAGTGTTACAATACTGACAGGTTGAAGAGCAATATACCTGTGCCACACCTGCGTAGCTTCAGTGAGAGATAGTCTCATCTATTTAGTCGAAATATCCCATAAAACATGTCTTAAGAACTTAAGAAATGAGGAACACTGCAGCAGACCTACTGGCCCATGCCTGGGTAAGTTCAACTCACACCCAGATTTCCATTCTGCCATAGTTCCTTTTCATTTTCCGAGTTCAACGTCACTGTTTGTTATTAAGCCACGTAAACAAAAGAGGAGGCACTTGGGAGGATTGCTGTTAGAATGCCTATTTGTATAATATTTAACATTGCAAAGACGCATCTCTCACATTGCAATAGGCCTAATGGTTCTTGCTAGGCAGGTCCTACGCCAGCATAGAGCACTGTAGCTAGCCATCACTATTGCACTGTAGCTAGCCATCACTAAATATCGGCCATTTAATCAAAGAGATGCACGCAGTAATGGTAAGATCTGAGCACAACGCAGTAGTTGGAAGACAACACAAGAATCAGAGGGGGAGAGACGGAGAGAGATAGAGGAAAACAAATCACAGAAGCACATGGAGGTCTCCTGAAGAAGGGACTCCTGAAGGTCCTACCTGCACTCGTAGATCAAGACACAAGTGGTTCCTGGATGTTGTTAAGTCCGGGGTAGAGAGCGAGAGAGCGAGCGCTTGTTTGTGTACGCGGGCTGAGATGGTAGCAGCATCGAGCCGTCTAGAGCGTCCACACACCACCACTGCACCCCTCGGTTTCAACTTTGAACTGGTCAACGCTAAAGAGGAAGGAGGGAGGAGAGGACGGGAGGGAGGGGAGGGCGGGAGGGAGGAAAGGGAGAGCGGGAGGGAAGGAGGGATGCCTCGTGGTGATTTGGGGGCGGGGAGGGGGAAGCGGTAGGCTAGGGAGGAGAGGGAGGGGTGAGGGAATGAGGGAGAGAAGAAGAGAGAGAATGAGAAAGAGAGAGAGAGAGACGGAGATGCCAAGAAGGGAATTATTTCTTGTTCTTCCGGTGAACATACAACGTGTGGCAACAGTTATGTGTATGTTGAGGGTTGGCCACTACCATTCACGCATAAACACAAAAATACACACACGCACGACTAGCACATACGCGCACACAAATATATACACAACTAACACATGAGCCAGGAGCTGAGTCTCGACCCCTGCAACCACAAATAGGTGAGTACATAGCATATATATATATATATATATATATATATATATATATATATATATATATATAATATATATATATATATATATATATATAATATATATATATATATATATACACCAGCGAAAAGGCGGAGCCAGGAACTACGAATCAACCCCTGCAACCACACATACATGTAGATGAGTACACACCTGAAGACACCTAGGTGGTGTCATGGTGGCTCACACACAGGTGCTGTTATTGATTGTCCTTCAGCACACTTGGTTGTATCTGGCAACTACTCTCGCTGCCCATCAATTCGCGAACCATTCTCATTCTCTCGCCATAGATAAATGCCAGACAAGCGCACATGTACGCACACGAACACACAGACGCACACAACACGTACACAAAACGCACGCGCAAGCATTGGCACATACACAAGCGCAGGCACATACACAAGCACGGGCACATTCACAAACACGGGCACATACACAAGCACGGGCACATACACAAGCACATACACAAGCACGGGCACATACACAGGCACGGGCACATACACAAACATAGGCACATACACACAAACACCAACCTACATGTTACAAGGAACAATACTTTTGTGTAATAACTGACCTGTGTTTGTGGAAGGCTATCTGTGGGAGGCTGTTTGTGGGAGAATTTGCGGGAGACTACCTGTTGGTGTAAGACACCATTTGTGCTCGTGCTTGACTATGTCGTAGCATCTGACCCCAGCTTCTTAAATTACAGTAACCAGCATTATTAATTCCCGTTCGCATGTGTCTTGTCAAAGCAATTCTTGAAACACTGTGTTGAGTGCTTGGACCACTTCCTCCTCTACCTCACGTCGCTCCACTTCCATATTCAGTGTGAGGAAATCCAAGCATCCCTGTGACTCACTCGCTTTCAGTTTCCGTCCATTTCCTGTTGTTCTCTGGTGCTCTCCCTTCTGACTGTCTTATATGTCGTAATTACATTCCATCTTAACTCTTGATCTTTCTCTTTTCTATAGTCGAGTGATGTGGTCAGAGCTCTGGTGGTGAAAGTCGAAAATCAAAAGCTGATTGTCGTAATAGTTGTCGTAATAGCTGATTGTTGTAATATATACTATTATATAAACACTAGATGATATGGCCTTGGATGCGCTGGAAGAAAATCAGAATGTAGATGTAATATACACAGACTTACACAATCCCTACACCTACGAAAGTAAAAGACTGGGCAGGCGATGCAAAATGCCGCCAATAAAAAGTAGGGGCGCCATTGGTACACTAAGAGAAAACACCATAAGTGTCCGGGGCCCAAAACTGTTCAACAGCCTCCCATCAAGCATTAGGGGAATTGCCAATAAACCCCTGGCTGCCTTTAAGAGAGAGCTGGACAGATACCTAAAATCAGTGCCGGATCAGCCGGGCTGTGGCTCGTACGTTGGACTGTGTGCGGCCAGCAGTAACAGCCTAGTTGATCAGGCCCTGATCCATCGGGAGGCCTGGTCATGGACTGGGCCGCGGGGGCGTTGATCCCCGGAATAACCTCCAGGTAACCTCCAGGATGTAATTTTGCAGCAGTTCAAAGGTCAACTATTGAAAACTGAACACTGTCTTCGAAGACCCATCAAAACCAACTTAGAGACTTCAGTTTAAGACATCTAAAATGGAAGAATGAAGCAAAGATTTTAACAGCAGAGATGAACAGTCTCACACAGATGAACTACCAAGACTCTGCGACAAAACTGACCCAACTACAAAATACTCTAGATTATATATTCACAAAAAAATAAAACCTGGTTCGGAACATTATAGTGTCGAAAACAGTGAACTCAATAGTCGATTACGAGGGGTCACCGCCCCATCATGGTGCGATTCCAGACCAAACTTCCTGGTTGTTGGACTGATCAGCCAAGTTCTTGGTGGCCGCCGTGAGCAGCCCACCTTGTGTCCCACACCATGGCGAGTCAAAAACCGATTCGATTCCATTAATTAATGGAAACTCTCTGTTTTCTATCGATAAGCCATGCCTCTATCCGTGCTAAAACTTTACCTCCTATACCATGAGCTGCTACTTTTTTAAGAGTCTTTTGTGAGGTACTCTACAACTGTCAGACACTGCAGCATCATGGGATCTTGTTACAAAGAATTCTTCAACACTTGTTCAACCTTTGGACGAAGACCTACTTCGACTAGTGGATGGTACCACTATGACCCCGCCTCTGCCTGCTTCACCTCACCTCACTACAGTATATAAGCCACGTCTACGGCCCTATGCTGTACATTCTACAAGATTGATGGACTGAACACATCGACTCCAGGTTGAGGGACTGATTACCTCATACTCCTCCTCTCCTTACGTCTTCCTCTTTGTATTGGATTGATGAAGCCACTGTGTGGCGAAACGTTTCCTGAATAAAGATTCCCATATGCTGCATAAGTGTCTCAATCTTCAACTTGTCGGTTTTTCAAACCATTCATTACTACTCTACTGAATGCTTTACTGAAATCCAAATAAACAATATCATTCTTTATCACTGTCCACTGCCTCAAATGTTTTATTGAAGAACGTCAGTAAATTCGCCAACCAGGAACGACCTCTCGTGAACCCATGCTGAGATTCATTAATCAAATTATGCTCTTCAAGGTGATTTGATTGTAATAATTTGCCTACAATAGATGTCAGGCTTATTGGACGGTAATTTGATGGAATGGACTTATCCCCTGATTTGAATATAGGAACTAGAGAAGCTATCTTCCACATCTCTGGCACAACACCAGTTAGGATGGACGCATTAAACACACTCGTTAATGGCTGACTAAGTTCCATCTTGCATTCTTTAAGTATCGTGGAAAACAGCTCGTCGGGTCCCAGGGACTTATTTTGTTTTATGTCCCTCGTGACAGTAATATTAGTTAAATTGAATTCATCAGGAACTGAATAACTGTTAATTTCTGGAATCTCATTTACGTCTTCCTGTGTAAAAACTGACAAAAAATAGCCATTAAATCGGGAACACATTTCTAGTTCGTTATCCCTCAGCTGTCCATTCCCAGTTTTCAAGAGATCCTGCTTTTTCCTTTACCTTCGTCCTATACACTTGAAAGAACCTTTTTGGATTAGTCTTTGATTCATTAGCAACTCTAATTACATAGTCACGTTTAGCCTTTCTAATCCCCATTTTTACTTCTCTTTTAAACTGAGCATATTGGTCAATAAGGTTAACCTCTCCTCTATTGCTGTGCTTATAAATTCCTCTTTTCTCCCCTAACAGATGCTTGAGCCTTCTGTTAACCCATTTGGGATCGTTATTATTTGACCTAATTTCTCTCTTGGGGAATGTATATACTCTGGGCAAAGTTGCACATTATTAAGAAAAAAAATCACAAACGCAGATCCCTTCGTAATCGTAAGTATGATCATCGTCAATAAAATCATTAGCTAGATTACCCCAATCGAGATTAAAGTTAAGGCACATGTGCAACATCTGGTTATCTTTATTGTATACGTTTCGCCATCCTAGAATCTGTATTGATAATGCCATTGGATGGCGAAACGTCTACAATAAAGATATCCAGATGTTGCACATATGTCTTAACTTTCATCTAATCGGTATTGCTTACCATTCTTGCACAGTCGAGATTAGACAGGTGTTCCCTAAGTCCATTATAATCGGCAGAACGAAAATCGGGGACTTTTTCCGTATTATCCTTATTCTCGCACTCCCAGGTAATGTTAAAGGTCATGGATTTGTGATCACTTGTGCCAAGCTCTTCAGTGATCTCAGATTATTTACGAATGTTTCTTTATTTGACAAAACTAGGTCGAGCAAATTATCACCATTGGTAGGCTCTGTTACACACTGATTTAGAAAACAGTTTGAACTGCTTCCATAAAGCCACTGGACTCCAGATTACCGGTCAAAGAAGTCCAGTCAATTTGGCTGAAGTTAAAATCCCCTACTATCACTATGTTATTGTGTCTAGAAGCCATAACAATTCCGTCCCAGAGAAGTCTCCCTCTATCGTGATCCAAGCCTGGAGGTCGGTATATTGCACCTAGAATTAGTTTTTCTTGACCTTCTAGAAACTCTACCCAAACAGATTCTGTTACTGACCCATCTATTTTTATACCTGTTTTTATGCAACAATTTATATTTTTCCGTACATATAATGCAACTCCATCTCCTTTCTCGTTATATCTATCTACATGGAACAACTTAAACCCTTGAATATGACACTCAGTAATCATAGCCCGATTCTTTACATTATACCATGTGTCAGTTATTGCAATGATATCAAAATTCCCAGCATATGCTACCAAACGTAATTCATTAATTTTATTTCTGGCCTGTCGACAGTTATTATAAAATACATTAATGTTTTTCTTGTGAACCTTTCTCCTCTCCAGCTTTTCTTTTACACAGTTTATGTTACTATCATTACCCTGTGTTACTCGATGACTATCAGCGCTAAGATTTATGATATTAGCCTAAATCAATATTTCGACACTCATTATTTTCTATTCCTAAACCCATATCTCTAACTAATCCTAGTTTAAAGCCCTAACAACATCCTCAACTGAGCTAGTG